GCCTTACTTTTTAGTAACATGACTACACTTCATGGTATGATAATAGAGGTTATACAATACATAAGTTAGAATCAATCAATATTAGATTAAGGAATAAATTGGTTAATGAAATGGTTTAATTAGAAATTGAATTCATCAGCACTCAATCATTATAAGAGATTGTTTAACTCATTCGTCAATAACAAAAACGTTTCTTAAGATTTGATTGTATTCAAATTATATCTTAAATATTTAATATCAACAACAAAAATTAATAGTCAAGGATAAATTTATGATAGTGTAGGCCTTGAAACATTTTAAATATTTATTTATTACCAATTTTTTTAAAATTATTAAGCCTTATTGCGAATCATTTATTCAAATATCGGTAAGTGGAAAAATTCATGAAATTTTGGAAGGATAAAATAAGGGATATTATAAAATATATAAAGAGTAATGCAATTTTTAGTCATTATATGGTATGATATTGATTTATAATTTAGGTTATTCAAGTAAAGAGTTTAAATCTTTAAGATCATCCTCTATATTAAAAGTTAGTAAAACAATATTCGTATGTATTTAACTTGATGTTTAATACATTTGCTACAATTACTGACACAAAGAAGAGTGAAAGTTCCATTGATCAAGATTTTTTTCAAAATTTATTCGCTTAATTAATCTGAAGGGCTAAGAATATGATTAAATTGTTTATCAAAACAATTATAATTACCAAGGAGCATCTATATTGTTCAAACAATAGACTGTTTATTATTACCCATGAATTTACTACATTATGATTATGTGCCTTTATAACTGCTACAAACTGCTTCAACTACCATTAATATCAATACAACTTGAGCCATTTGTTACACCACCAGATTTAAAATATGAGCATATAGCATCACTATTATAATTAGATTGTCAGAACATATTCTTGATCTGCAATAGATTAATCAGTATAGATCATAATATAATGTCATCATTACATTTTGCTGAATTTGGAATACAGTAAATCGGATGAATTTTATTTTTGTTTTTTTTTGAATTAAATTGTTCATCCAACTTCTCTGGTTAAACATCCATTTTAATAAGACTGACATTCAGAATCAGAATTGGCTGTTGTATTCTAATAACATGACAATGATAAACAAGGCCCAGTTGCATTTAGAACCATTGATAACTCAATAATTAAGATTATCAGAAATTATTGTCTCCTGATTGATAACTGCAAATGAAATTAGATTTACACTTTAAGGCTCTGCAATAAGTATTTTTTTTCAGTATTATTTTCCTTAAGCAACATAATTACTACAGAGTGTTTGATCAATACAAGCTGACAAAATTTTTTAGAATCTACACTTGGAGTGATAATTAGAACAATCTTCATACTTTGGAGTATTGGTATTATCAGAGCCTAACTTAGTGGTACAATTGCTCATTCTAGTTCATTTCTAACCATTTCCTATGAACTTAGAGCAAGTTTCAGATTTACCATTTAGTAAATCACAAGTAATTTCTTTTGGTGTACACCCCCTATCCAATTAGAGACACAACCTTGTGAGAAATCATTACATGGTTTATCAGTAAGTCCAGATTGAGTATTATTAACACATTGTTTAATTTTGCGTTGAGAAATTGATATTGTTTGTGCTTAAGCCATAGCAGAACATTTTATTGCCAATAAATGTACTGCTATATGATTAAGTGCCATAAAAGGCAGAATTCCCTTTCACACAAAATCTCAAGCCATCTCAGAGGCAGCCTTTTAAGAATTTAGCACAATCTGTATTATTTGTTAATCGAACAGCTGTTTCACATATTTTAATGACTCAATATGTATTCGAAGTAGCTCCAATTATGTTGTAACATTATTATCGATCAGTACTATTTGAGGTGAAACCTGTAAACTTATTATAGTCAGACTCAATTGATTTATAATTTCTAAGATATCTTTTATATCGTTTTGTAATAAATCTTCAAAAAATCATTTTGTAAAAATTTTGATACTTCTATTATGTTCTCTTCAAAAAATTTCTTGATTTTTTATGAGATTCTGACTTAAGGATATATATTATTAATTCTAGATTCTCTAACTTCTGCTAATAATCCTTAATTAATGATATCTAAATCATCCATAGTCAACATATTTTGGTATTTCACCGGAATTAAGTAGGTTATTTACATCTTCTAGAAAACCTTCTTATAAAATTTATGTTTCTGAAAATGAAATGAAATAAGTTTATTATATATTCCAAATAAGTGCATCATTTTCATAAATTATTTCTTACCACAATTCTTCTTACTCTCAATAGTCTCTATTTTACAACCATTTAAAGCTGCTCCAAGTTGAGTTAATGATTGTTCTCCGAACCTTCAACTCAAACTAAGGTAGATGGTTATCTGAATCTCCAACTCCAACTAAGTTATAATATCCTCTCTACTATCTTAATACTCGACTAATTACTAATTCGAGTTCAATATTCAATAGCATCTTTCAATAAAACTAAACCCATTTTGTACATTCCATCATATATTCATTAATGGTCTTGATTAATTCATTGCAATCTCTAACTGCTTCATAAAAACAATCAGATAATTCAGCTCTTTTCTAAAAACCATCAAAAATAAAAGGTGGTGATATATCCACTTACTTAATATTCAATTTTAAAACTAATTCTCTTTAAACCATAATCTTATAAATTTATTAACCTATTCGTTACCATTTATTCAGGTTTCTGATAATAAATAAGTTTAGCTTATAAAATTCCTTGATATATTTTACTTACATTCTAAGTTTGAAGACATAATGAGATTTCTCTGGAATAGGTAATAATGCTTTTTAAATTTCTTAATACATTTAAAGAGTTGAATTAGCAATAGAATAATTTTCACTCAAATAAACTATTTCACTTTTCAAATTATCATTTTTTTAGAAAACTTTAGAAATAGTGCTAAATATCCATAATAGAGTTTCATCACTAGAATTTGGATTACTTAATCATGCAAAATGACGAGTATATCTTACTGTTAGTTTAGATCGTCCTCCCCCAGGATGTCCCCAAGCACAAATGAGAATTACATTATCTACATCTTTCCAATTAAAAGTTTATCTATCTTTTCAGATAAATTGTTTTTTTACAAAAATATATATTTCACAAATAGAGCTAAATTTGAAGAATTTACATTTTCTAATAAGCATTAAAAGCAAGGAAAACTGAAAAGCTATTGAAGGAAATTTAAAGATTGATGCTCCTTCAATTCATTATATTCTCTTTATCCCATTTAAAATTGAGACTAAACTAAAACTTTGTGGTTAAGAGAAGATTTACTGATTTTTAAAAATGGAGTGATATTTTAGTAAAGAAGTAGGCTTAAGTTATTTTATAAATTTAATTTGATTACCATATCACTTATATATTCTATTTCTGAAAAAAAAATGTAATATTAATAATTTATTTAATTGGTAAACTTAGACAGATGCATTTAGATAAGAGTAATTGAATAAATATAGTTAGAGTATTATGAGTTCTCTAAGTTTGTAATTGGCTAGAAAAATGAATTGAGTTTTTATTCAAAAAATGTGAAAGTAACAAACGAAAATATAAAATAGAAAAATTTTTATGAACTCTTTAGATTATCATAAAATGAGTTAATCTCAAGGTAGAATAAATAGTAGTTGAAATAGAAGTACAAGTGAAACAAAACAAGTTAGTTAAGTAAGGGTAATTTATGCAATTATGAATAATTAATTGCAAGATGAATAAATTAAATGGTGGACTTTAGAATAATATAAAATGCCAAGAAAATTGTAAAGATGGGTAGATTAGAACTTTAGAGACTGCTATGTTCCATCAGATATTGGCTTATTTCCTATTGAGTGAGTTTAGCTGAAATGTATGGATCTACAACAGGATAAATGTATAATTGGAGAGCAACTGTGTTTTTAGTTTAGAGATATGATTAATTTATTGGAATAAAACCAAAGTGATAACTATTTTAAATATGGATTCTTATATTCTACAGTGGATAAAGTGAAAAATATCTATCTCCACATAACGATATGCTTTAATTATTAAGAATATTGATTTAGGCTAACTTCAGATAACACAATAAATACATTAACCTTGAAACAATATTCTTCAGAGCAAAAAATTAACTATTAAACAAAATCTACTTCCATTAAATTCATATTATCAGATTAATTTTCAATATATTTCTAATTAAGCTTATAAATTTTCACTGGAGTTAAAATACTCTACTATCAATAATTCCCACACCAACTCAACAAATCTTTAAATTTGAAAAATATTTGATTCTGCTCAATTCAATTTTCTACAGAAATTCTAGATAATTATTTAGATTGAAGCTCTTGACTGATTCTTATCTTTTAAAAGGTTAATTTTTCCATTTACTTTTAAAGGTTATCTCAAATAAATTTCCATCAATTTAAGAGTAGTTTAGACACTCTAGTGATATTTACATTTAAATAAACAGTTCTTAATTCATCATTATGTTGTTGATCATAAAGTGAAACTTTTAGAATGTTATTATTAATTTTAAATTCTTTCTATTCAATTAAGATTTGATGTTGTTAATCTTTACTTCTAAGAGTTTTCCATACAATCGAAATATATCATAAAAGAAGAACAAAATTTGAAAAATCCCAAAAAGAAAAGTTAATAAAGTGATAGATTGTTATTAATGTAATTAATCAATTAAATAGAAAGAAAAATTTAGAGTTTATTTAATACATCGTTATATAAAAAAGTAAGTCTTGAAAAAGGAGAGCAATTGATGAAAACTCAAAAACAAATAAGTTTTGATCTCAAGTGAGGTAAAGCACAAATGCCAAAGAAAACAAATCAAAAAGCCTATTATTCCAAAAGACAAAAAAGAATTGGAAAACAGGGAAGTAGCATCAAATTGATCAAAGTCGGTTCGAAAATATGAGGTTTTGATCAAATGATAAATATAAATATTTACAATTAATTGAATTATTTAATTATGGATTTTATTGACGAAATTTCTTTCCATTTCATTAAAATTAAGGTTTAAGTTTTGATAAAAAGAAAAAAATTAAATTAATTAAATAATGTATTTTTTGTTATTATGTGCTTTGCCCAAAAGGAATAAAGGTTCTACAGCTTTCACAATAGCGAAATATTTTTGCCAAGCTCTTAAACATTCTTTTATAAAAGTTCTTCTGCTTTGTCTTTTTAATTATTAAAATTTCTTAAATTTCCTTTTTCCCCTTAAAACATATTTAATCTGGAGTGAAGTTTCTCAAGCTATATTTTCTGACCAAACCCAATATTCATTTTGAAATCAAAAAAAAATATATGTATTTATGATATTGTCTTCTAAGTCATTTGAAAAAGGAGAAGTGTTTAATAATTATAAGAAAATATCACAGTTTAATTTAAATATAATTATTGTAAAAGAAATCAAGATTTTTTTAAGTATGATTTAACCTTTTCATGAAAGAATTTTTTGGCTTTAGTGATTAAGAAAATGTAAAAAATAAATAAAATAACTTCTAAAAATTTACTCAAAAATAAACATTAATTTCCAACTCAAATGCTTAGATTATTTAAGAATAGAAACTTGGTTTTATTGTTCATTCCATTTAGTTTGTATTTTGGAATATTAAAGGCTTTTTAGTAATTATGGAATTATTGATGTCACCATATAAATATGATA